TCATTGCATGCTGTAGCCTATCTTGTGACCTGTTGGCAGGCAGGCTGTGATTTGGGAGTAAGCAACTGCTGCAAAGCTGCTGTTTGTCGTTAGGAAAGGGCCAAGCACAGGGGGTCTTTGATTTTTGGGGGATTTTTTTTTTCTTTCAGTAAAAATGAAATGAGTCTTGTTAGGGCTTTGAATGTGGAATTCCCTGCCTGTGAGAAAAGTGCTGAGAAACAAGATTTTCCCAGTGTTGACTTAACAGGTGGCCTAATCCAATGACTCCGATCCCAATCCTTCCAAGAGGGAATCTTCCTCTTCCAAGTACTCCTTAAATAACAGACATTTCAGAGTGAGCCTGTGGCAGGTTGAGTCAGGAGGAAAAGAGCTGGTGTCTGTGTTGGCCCTGCTATACTGGGCTGTCTGGGCCCAGAATAGTGGATACGAATGCCATTGGAGCTGTCATTTATTAAGGCATCGTGGCACAGGCATAGTGGGGTGTTATCATGCATATGGATTCTTTTGATGCAACGTTGCATCATGTTTTATGGAGGGGAAAAAAAAATCAGTGCATCAGAGCAGTGTCCTTCAGGCTGGTATTTGGCTAAGTCGGTAAAACAAAGGTGAATTGCACAGCAGTAAGAACAGCATGAACGTCAGGAGAGGTGCCCAGGTGACATGGGGCATGTGGGCTGCACCAGTGACACTCTCTTGTGCGGAGCAAGCTGTCTGGGGTGAATGTGGGGAGTTTCCTCCTCCTTTCTGTCCAAAACACTGCAGAAGTCTGAGTCTGAAGGGTGAAGGCAGAACCTCACTTGGTCTTGGAGGGATTAAAGTATCAGGTGAGGGACCAGCATTGCTAGTGAATTGAGGACAAGGACAGCATTTGTTTCTCTTGAGAAGAGTTCAGCTGGAACATGCAGATACATGAGTGTTTGTAGGATTGTGGTATCCACCGTGGAATCACCTTTCTTCCCTCTGGACCATTGCCAGTGAGGCCACAAGCACAGGTTGGATATAGGGTCCAATTCCTTCCTTCCCTAGAAGCATCTCTCCTTTCTGATGGGGTCAAAAGAAAGAAAAGAAACCTCAAGAGTGGTGTGGTCATGTTTTAGAGGCTTTATAAGGGGCTTAATCCTTGCTTTAGGAAAACTTTCTCCTCCTTTGTATGTTACAGATGACTTTTGATTTGTTTTTTCCTTCTTTTGTAATGGAAATCCAAGCAGCAACTGCAGAGATCCTGACGCTGGAAAGCAGCAGCCAGTGTGCACTGTTCCTCTGGAGAAAAAGGGATCCATCAAAACACTTCCTTTTTGTCACGCTCTAATTTTGCCGCCAATGGTTTATTTTTGTTTTTGGCTTTTTATTCACTGTATTCTTAAAACTTCCCTTTCAGGGCTTAACAGCTTAACCATTTCAAAATCATGCCAAGCGGAAATGTAGCATACCATTTTCTCACTAAACATTGTGCTGATCTCTCAAATGTGTTCTGGATTTGTAGAAAAGCTGCAAAAAAGATGGGCTGAAAGAGGGTGAGAATTAGCACTCAGATAAAGAGCTAGGTCTTTGCGTGCTTAGGAAAGATCTGGATAAGCAAATCAAGTGCTCCTCACCACCACCTTGCTCTGCAGCATCTCATATTGGCATGGACCACAGCAGGATTGATGGGCAGGAGTGTATAGACTTGTGCTAAAGCCCAGGTTTTGAGCACAGATGGCTGTCCTGAGGCTGGTACAGTCTTTACACAGCCCTTAACCAGAACTGAAACCTGCATTTAACAGTCTGGGATCTGAGATACACTATGAATTTTGCCACCACATTCCCCACTGGGTTTTAATCACTAACACTAATTTGCCACAGGAAAATATTATTGGTGATACGTAATGAATGCTTTGTCCTTGTGCATGTGGTTTCTTCATACCTTGAATTTTGCCTACCCTTGGGATGCTGGGAGGATTCATGGTCCTCCTTTTGGTTTTCCCTTGTGCTGATGGACCCTACTTGAAGTGATGAGATGTTGGCTTTTGCAGCTGAGTGCCCTTAGGTCATAGAGGCTGTTCTATGCCATGGACAGAACATTGGTGAGTGACTTCTGCTGGCTTGTGCTCCCTTGAGACTGTAGAGAGATGGATTTTCCCAAGGAAGAAAAGAGCAAGGAATGTTTCTGGAAATGCAGTCTTTCTCTTAGTGCTAGAACGGGGCATCGCATCTACAGGAGTGACAGAAGAGGTCACTTTGTGTGCTCTTTCCAACTGGTGATGTAGATGACTAGGACATGAGAAAGCAACTTGATACTGCGGAGCTGGGAGGTTGGGGTGAGCTCTTTCCAAAGAGATAGATAATTGAGAGTTATTTGTCTTCGTCTCTATCTTTTTTTTATAGTTCTTCACATTAGAAGACCTCTGTGGAGCAGTCCCTCACTGGCTGCAGAAAATACCCATGGCCCTGAGCTATGGAGCTGGGCTTTGGACTGCAGCAGCCCCCATTAAAGCTGCTCTGAGCTGGAATATGCTCTTTCATTAGAGCTCTCAGGCTTGCTGGGTGAAGTGAGGGACAGATGATGATGATTAGTAGCTTTAAAATTAATAATGCTCTTTGTAATGCTTAATCTTTCATTAATAAACATAGTGCACACACTGTGTTGTATCTAGCCTGAGAAATGCCCAGGGTCCCCCAGTACTGGGAAGCAGCTAGAGATGGCAATTTCCCTCTTCTCCTTTCTCCTGTTTGTCCTAAATTTTTGAGAAGAAGGCCTATCTCTAGGTCAAAATAACACAGCTTTGGATACTACTTACATATACAGATTCCTCTCTGGGGAAAATATCTACAAAATGAACCACTTACACCAGGTTCTTACACTGCCTGGTGCAGGCAACCCACCATTTGGGCAGCTGATGCAGCTTGGTGGGAGCTCCATGTTCAGCAAAGGATTCCCCAAACTGAGCCTGTTTGATCGCAGGGTTAGAGGATGTTGTGGGGGGAAACTTGGCTAGATTTGTGCAAATCTTTCTTGTATGCAACCTAGTGCAGGGGACGGGCCGGATGCTGTGCCCTGCTGGTGCTGTGTGCCTTTGAAACAGCTCCAAGTCCCTGCTTGCATCAGGGAGAAGAGCGGAGTGTGGCCCCGTGACTTATTTATGAAATTCCTGGGGGGAAGGAGAGGGCATGTGAAGGTCTCTAGGCTGCAGGTGGAGGTAAAGAGGGCAGCATAGGTATAAAGGACAGGGTGATGGTGCAAATCAGAAGCATGTGGGGAAAAGGAAGACAGGACATGCTCACTGCTTGCAAAACCACTATTTGGGTTTCTGGAGAGTTTGGAAGAGAGAGGTTCCTTCGGTTCTCTGCTACCTCTCCCAATAAAATCAGTGCGTGCTGACAGGTTCAGTGTGCAGGTACCCATGTTGATTGGTGCTTTAGCTGGTACTCTCCATCTGAGAACATGGTCTGCGCAGAACTGGGAGACAAAGCTAAATGGGAATTTAGGAAGCTGGGGGAGGCAAAATGTCTTGCTGTGATCTTCAAGGAGCAGTAGTGAGGAACATTTTTTGGCATTGTTTGTGGTGTAGGAAAATTCCGTCCTCCTTTTATTTTTTTATTAATACCCATAAGGGGAAGGTGCCTCCCTACCTTGTAGGGGAACTGAAAGAAGCAGTTGCCCTTGTGCTGTTGGCGAGTGTTTGGCTCCACTTGAGTTGTTTTCCCACTATTTGGGTAAATAAGTTAAGACAATGAGAAGCCTGCTGAGATCTTTGGCAGGGAAATGAATCTCCTGGGAGATGAGGACAATGTTGTTTCTTGGTGGGGAGCTGCCTGTGCTTGAGGGTCAATCCTGCCCGTATGGAGAGCGGAGGGAAACAAACGCTCTCTGTTTTAGCACTGGAATCATTGCAAGGAGATGCGCGAAGGATCATTAGTGCCACAGTCGTCATTATCTCTTGCTCAGCTTAGTAGTTTTTTTTCCTTTTTCCCTCCCTTTTTTTTTTTTGTTTTGATTTAAAGGCAAAAATAATAGCTGGTTCCCGCTAGATCAGACGCGGACAAAATAATAGCAATATCACAAAGATTGAGGTCTACAAGATTAAATTTGAAAGAGAGGAGAAATTACAGCTTTGGCCTCGCTTGCTGTTGCACCAGCCGGGTGGATAAATGACTCCATATGCAGATAAACAGGGCAAAAATAAAGGGGATGCTCAAGAAGAGATGGCAAGAAAAATAGTAACTAATCAGCAGATTCAACCACTGTAATAATGCAGTAAACATGGAAAATTGCATTATATTAGCTCCTCGGTTTCTCATTGTATATATTAACCAGAAAGCCATCAATAGGCAATTCGCCATAAAGACGCAATGCTGCGGACGCACAAGCCTCCCTCTCTCCAGAAAAGGCATTTGTGATGCTAAAGGCAAAAGTTGCCTTTCTAACTGCATAACAAAGAAGTGGCTGAAGTCAAGCTTGAGAAATGCACATCACTCCCCAGTTTAAAAAAAAAAAATAAGGAGAAAAAAAATATAAAGAAAAACTCCCAGGAAAAGCACAGTGCTGGAAAAAGGATTGCAGGTCTACTTATCCCTTGTGCCCAGGTAGGGCTGGCATCTACGTGCTGAGGCACTGTTTCATTGTGGTCCTGGGATGCTCCCCTGGTGCCAGAGGAAATTAGTCTGCTGCAATTTTTTTTTTAATGAACTCAATTTCTAGCTTGCTTAATCGCTCAAAGGAAAGCGAGGAGCCTCTGCAGCTTCTTCCCTTGAGTTCAGGTAAAATAAAACACTTTGTGTCAAGTACCGTCTTCTCTGGCTTCCAGTTAGACTAGGAATTGCACAGTCCTGCGACCCTCCTAAGATATATATTAGGCTAAGAATAGTGATTTTAATTGTTGTGGGCATAGTACATGGAGGAAGCTTCACAATTTCTGTTTAGAGATTTGGACCAGAAACTTGGTCAGTTCTAGACAAAAAGATTTTTTTTAAGTCCTGATAATACAATTGTAGGATAAAAGTAGCCCTAAACTTCACATTTAAGTCATGTTCCTTTGCACTCTTCTATCAACAGGTCCAACCACGGTCAGTGCATAGATCTACCTGCATTCCAGGATGTTGGAAAACTACCGAGAGACAGCACCGTCCTCCCAGCTGCTTGGTGAGAAAGGAAGGATGCACCTTCAGGTACAGCCTGTTGTATCTTTAACCCTCAGTTCTCCATTTCTATTAGACTAGACCTGCTTGTTGCATTGCCTGTATATTGGGGGTGTAAAGTCTTTGCATCTAGGGGTGATGCAGCTTTGCTTCTCTTCCCTGCACCCCATGAGAAATCGGAGCACGTGCTCCAGTTTGCCAGCATCCAAGGGTCGAGCCAAATGCAGCACAGGGAATCACTTCATCCCCAGAGCTGTGGTAGGACAGCAGGAGTGGCTGAGCAGGGCAAAGCCAGGGTGCACAAGGGAAAGCAAAGGTTGGCATCTTCTTGGACATCTCCCCAGCGTGGCAGCTGGGTTGTATCAATTCCATCCGTTGTCTTAAGGAGAGATGGGGTCCACCTCCCTCTAACTGTGTAGGCCAGGATGAAGCAGACAAGCCTTTCTCTGTGCTTAAGGTGCTGCTTTGCTTTCCTAAATAAGTGATATGGCCCCAGACCAGACGAGTATCTAGGAGCTGCTTAATTCTTGGCAAGCAGTCAGAGCTGCCAACTGTGGTGTCACAGACTGGGGTTTCTCTTGGACACCCTTTTTTTCTGGGTTGGTTGTTTGCTTGTCTTCTCTCCTGAACAAGTGGCTTGAGGCAATAACATGAATTAGCCTATTTATCCTCTCTGTGTCTGTGTTTACAAATGCATGTGCAGTGGGACTCGCTGCTTTCAGTGAAGTCCTTTCTTTTCACTCCCATTTCCTCATCGCTGGGCTCGTGTGCACCCCTTGCAGCAAGCGAAGTGCTTTGGACGTGCCATGAGCACTGATTGCTCTTGTTGTGCCTGGTTTTCCCTGGTGTCTCTCGCAAGGTATGGCCATGTGAACCATGGGGGGCTCGGCGTGTGATGTGAGTCCCTGGATGGCCTGGAGAGGCAGGATTTGGTGGCATTTGGTGTCCTAGTCATCCCGTTGCAACATGTCATGTGTGTGGACAAGTGGTGTGGAGTGGGAAGAGGGCCAGGAAGGAGTTGCAGGTGTAGTAACTCTGCCCTGTCTATTTTTTCCTGGATGTACTTGTAGGGACCTAAGCTTCCTTCCCTGCTAGAAAGGGCTGGAAACGGCAGAGCAGCAGCTTGGATTGAATGAGTGACCTCTGAGGGCTTCTAAAGTGATGTTGGCCACCTCTCTGACCAGAACTACCTGCGTAGGAACTTTTGGATATCTTTCCTGACGAGGAATAATAATGGGGATGGGGTCTATGAGGGGGGTGACAAAGGTGAGACAACCAGGTGGGCCTTGGGGGAACTGGTTTTGCACCCAGATTCCCACATATGACATTCTGGTGCTGATGCATCCACATATCTGTCGTCTTCATGCCAGGAGACCCTGTGTTAGCATGGGGAAATGCCAGGCAACGCTTGTACATCTGATAGCTTACTCCTCCAGAGCACGATGGGGGTTGAGCATGATGCCTCTTAATGTTCTTGCTCCTAATTATCCTCTTAATTACTCAATGAAATGCCCAATAAAACAAATCGCTATAATTTCTACTTTATTCCCTGCCTTTTGCAGTTTATTTAAGAACGCAGGATCCATTAAGGAGGCACTTTCTCATTAGGGAATACTTTCCGATAGATCATACTTCCACAATGGCTTTATGCTCCGATCTCATGCTTCCTCCTCGCTCTCGCTGCCAGTTTGCTAATTGCTGAAGATGCCTGTGTTTAGGAAGTGCTGCCTCCCTTGCTGCCCATCCCTCCTGCAAGCTGCTGGTGAAGCCACGCTGTGGAGTTGGTGGCATCCCCGCGGCAGCCACCGGCAATGCCACCGCTGGGGATTGCAGTGATCTGGGTGCTGGCAATGGGACATTTGTGGGCTTTCCCTTCTCCTTGAGTAGAGAGATATTGGGACTGTGCAACTTCTTTAAAAATGGATTTTAAGCTTCCTTTTCTTCCCTAGATTCACCTTGCAGATTCTCTCTGGGGATGTCGTGAGGGATGTCATGGTGCATCTCTGGGGAAAGGGATGCGGGGCTGGTTTTGCTCAGGATGCTGAGTGCTTGGACGTGGCCGGGATGCAGGAGCTGGATGGGAGAGGTGAGCAGCACCTCTCCTGCATCCCCACTGTGAGCTTGCCGGTCCTCGGCTGTGCTGTTCCCCCTGCTGATGCCACACGCTTCCCGATGAGCAGGTAAACTGGGCCGCTTGTTGGAGGCTAGGTGGAGTAAATAGGCCAGCTGTGGGGTTTCTGGGTCTGTGGTTGCAGTGCGGCACGGCAGGGAGGGAAGCAGGGACTGCCAGTTCCACGGGGCTGAAGCCAGGATGAAACCATGTGGGGACCAGCCCTGCCCTACCTTTCCCAGTAGGGTCCCGGTGGATGGTCCCAGCACCTTGTACCTTGACCTCTGCTTCTCCCTTGGCCTAACCTGCATCTGTCCCAGCCCCATATGGTGACACTAGGGAATGAAATGAGCCCGGTTGTCCTGGACGCCCTCAGCTCCTGCCTGGCTGTAGCCCACTTGGGCTCGGTGCATCTGTTTGCTTTCTGCTTCATGTCCGTAACGTTGGTACAGGGCACTGCCATTCACACAGGGCTGGCAAGCAGGAGATCCCAGCAATGGGAAAGGGGCTGGAGGATCATCCCTGTCCACCCGAGGCAGGGATCTAGCTCGCATGAGGAGGTGACACCAATGAAGGCATTTAAAACAACGGCCCAAAACCTGCGTGTGGAAGTGAGCCAGCTGATTTACTTAGCTGGCTGCAGCAAAGCAAGCAGGCAGCGGGATCAATCTCTTCATTTTATTTTCCTGAAGGTAGGAGTGAAAACGCCGTTTGGATGCTCAGCGCGTCTCGGCCGAGCGGCGGCAAGGAGCGGCCGGCACCGCAGAACGTGCCGTCCTGTCTGCTGCTTTCCCAGGCCGTAACTCCCGAGCTGGGTGCAATAGCAATGAATGTTCAGCAGGTACAGGGGTGGCCTTTGGAAACGGAGCTAATGAAACAAGGCAAAAAAAAAAAAAAAAATCTTTATGGCGTTTTGGCAAGGGCTTTAAATATTTAATGCTATGCGCAGCAAAACTCCAATGCAGGGAGCACACGGTGCACCTGCAGGAAGCGCTGCCCTTGCTAGCGAGGGAGTGTGTCCTGCACCCTTCTGTGCAGGGTGAGGGTTGAGCAAAAGATGCTGGAGATACATGCTGGTCAATGGTGTCTTTCCCGCGTTGCGGAGCTGCGGTGGGATGGGAATGTGGCAGCGCTCCGGTTCTTGGAGAGAAGCTGCCACTGAGGGGAAACTCCTGACGTTACCCAGAGAAGAGGCTGCGGTGATTAAATGGGATTGCTGGAAATCCTTCCAAAGCAGGCTTAACTCTTAAGAGCCATCAATGTCACATTGAGGGTCAGTGGCTGTCGGACCGCTGAACTCCCTGCTGTGGCCACTCGCTGTGTGGCTCTGCAGCCCCATCCAAGCGTGGGGGATCCCATCCCTTTTGGAGGGTGCGAGACCCCCTAGGAAGGCTGCTTGTCCAGGGGGTTTTGGCTGTGTGCACTGTGCTTGGATTTGCTTTGAGCTGAGGCATTCATAGCAATGATGGGGAGAAGACAGTGGGTAAAGAAGGAAGAGGGTGAATGTAGCTGGTCGTTTATATTTTTGGCTCTTGGCCTCGTGGCTCCCATCCTCCTGAAATGCCCATAGAGACCAAATCTGCCATCCCCAACACTGAGTCCATTAAAAGGCAGCAAGCACTTCTTAACTTCATGGAATGCTCCAGTTTGGAAGTGGAGCCCAGTGCTTCCTAGCACCCAAAGGAAGGAGTGGGACATAGCAATCATTAAACAATGCTGAGATCAGACCTGCAGCATTAAAGGGCAAAACAGCTTCAGATCCAGGTTGGAGCAGTCTTGGACCCTTGGCATCCTTGGAGGATGAGGCCTTTCCCTTATTGTCTCCCTGTGAATGACGGGAGGTGGCCATGGGCCTGCGTCCTCTACTGAGCAAATCTACCCACAAGCTCCCCCAAATCCATATTACCCCAGACATGTAACTCCTCAATGCAGTTGCACGTGTCAGAGCTTCTGCTACTTATGACTTGTTCAAGAGCAGCATTGAAAGATGTCACAGTTGCTTGTCAAAGTTGCTTATGAAGACTTGGTGTTGTAATTAAGGCACTAGATTTGAAAAAAAAAAAAAAAATGACGGAGATGTTTCTTATGAGAAATCAAACATTTTTACAAGGAAAGAAAACCCCTGTCACCATTTTCCCTGCCCTGTCATGTCTGACTGTTGGCTAAATTGCTTTCTAAGAGACTCCCGTGACCTGCTCTATTAGGAAGCTCAGCAGCCCAGCTCGGTGTCCCCAGGGTCCTGCAGGATGTGTGACACCAGCCAGGCTGGATGAGGCAGCGTGAGCTCCAGCAAGGCCAGCTCTCCAGGACCACTATCCGGTATGAGCATCTCACGTTGCACATGCGGACAGTGAACGGCCAACGTGGCTCTGTAGACCGGGGCACCACAGGCACCAGCTTGCTGACACCCTGCTGTTAACCCCTGAACACTGAGAAACGTAGTTTTGGCACAGCTGGGTGGCATTTTGCCCCTACTGACACTGTTTAAGGGGCTGTCAGGACTGAAAGCAGCTGTGCTAGCCAGCCAGGACATCCCCGTGGACTTCGAATTGCTCTCTATCTTTCACGGCCTTCGCATTGCACTTCATCATGGGTTTTAGAAGCAGGGTAGTGATGGGACGTGACAAAATTTAGCTCAAGCAGAGTTTTCTTGGCACCAAGTACTTGTGTTTTGGAGTTGCTTTCCTCTGTTGGGTAAATATGAAATTATTGCCTTTGACTGGAACTGATCCTCTGGAGCCATGTTATTCCATTGGGGAGACGTATTTCCACCAATTTTCAGTGTGGATTATTTTTGTGACTGGCTGTAATAGTTTCTTTGGTGGTATTAGGGCTTATTATGTCAGGATTTATTTAGGTATGAAGCAACTGGACATGCTGTAGTCCTATAACTTACAGTTGTGTGCTGAAATTCATAAGG